AGAAAAAACAATGAAAAGGAAAAAGAGGCTCCAAGAAATATGGGACTATGTGAAAAGACCAAACCTACATTTGATTGGTGTACCTGAAAATGACGGGGAGAATGGAACCAAGTTGGAAAACACTTTTCAGGATATTATCCAGGAGAACTTCCCCAACCTAGCAAGACAGGCCAACATTAAATTCAGGAAATACAGAGAATACCGCAAAGATACTCCTCGAAAAGAGTAATCCCAAGACACATAATTGTCAGATTCACCAATGTTGAAATGTAGGAAAAAATGTTAAGGGCAGTCAGAGAGAAAGGTCGGGTTACCCACAAAGGGAAGCCCATCAGACTAACAGCGGATCTCTCTGCAGAAACTCTACAAGCCAGAAGAGAGTGGGGGCCAATATTCAACATTCTTAAAGAAAAGAATTTTCAACCCAGAATTTCATATCCAGCCAAACTAAACTTCATACGCAAAGGAGAAATGAAATCCTTTACAGACGAGCAAATGCTGACAGATTTTGTTACCATCAGGCCCGCCTTACACGAGCTCCTGAAGGAAGCACTAAATATGGAAAGGAAAAACTGGTACAAGCCATTGCAAAACATACCATATTGTAAAGAACATCGACACTATGAAGAAACTGCATTTGCTAACGGGCAAAATAACCAGCTAGCATCATACTGACAGGATCAAATTCATACATAACAATATTTACCTTAAATGTAAACAGGCTAAATGCCCCAATTAAAAGACACAGACTGGCAAAATGGATAAAGAGACAAGACCCATCTCACGTGCAAAGACACACATAGGCTCAAAATAAAGGGAAGGAGGAATATTTACCAAGCAAACACCAAACACCAAAAGCAATGGCAACAAAAGCTGAAATTGACAAATGGGATATAATTAAACTAAAGAGCTTCTGCACAGCAAAAGAAACTATCATCAGAGTGAACAGGCAATCTACAGAATAGGAAAACATTTTTGCAATCTATCCATCTGACAAAGGGCTAATATCCAGAATCTACAAGGAACTTAAACAAATGTACAAGAAAAACACAAACAACCCCATCAAAAAGTGGGTAAAGGATATGAACAGACACTTCTCAAAAGAAGACATTTATGCAGCCGACAAACATATGAAAAAAAGCTCATCATCACTGGTCATTAGAGAAATGCAAATCAAAACCACAATGAGATACCACCTCATGCCAGGTAGGATGTCGATCATTAAAAAGTCAGGAAACAACAGATGCTGGAGAGGATGTAGAGAAATAGGAACACTTACACTCCCACTTTTGTTGGGAGTGTAAGTTATTTCAACCATTGTAGAAGACAGTGTGGCGATTCCTCAAGGATCTAGAAGTAGAAATACCATTTGACCCAGTGATCCCATTGCTGGGTATATACCCAAAGGATTATAAATCATTCTACTATAAAGACACATGCACACGTACGTTTATTGTGGCACTATTCACAATAGCAAAGACTTGGAACCAACCCAAATGCTCATTAATGATAGACTGCATAAAGAAAATGTGGCACATATACACCATGGAGTACTATGTAGCCATAAAAAAGGATGAGTTTATGTCCTTTGCAGGGACATGGATGAAGCTGGAAACTATCATTCTCAGCAAACTAACACAGGAATAGAAAACCAAATATTGCATGTTCTTACTCATAACTGGGAGTTGAACAATGAGAACATATGGACACAGGGAGGGAAATATCACACACGGGGGCCTGTCAGGGGTGGGGTGCTAGGTAAGGGATAGCATTAGGAGAGATACCTAAAGTAGATGACAGGTTGATGGGTGCAGCAAACCACCATGGCACGTGTATACCTATGTAACAGATCTGCACGTTCTATACATGTATCCCAGAACTTAAAGTATAATAATGAAAAAAAAAAACTGAATTAAATGTATTTATTGTAATTCTCTTTATTTTTTATTTTTTTTAGAGACAGGTTCTCACTATGTTGCCTAGGCTAGAGTGTAGTTGTGTGATCACAGTTCTTTGTAATCTCAACCTCCTAGGCTCCAGCAATCTTCCCACCTCAGTCTCCCAAGTAGCTGGAACTACAGGCACATGCCACAATGCCCAGCTAATTTTTAAGTTTTTTTGTGGAGATGAAGACTCACTATGTTGCTTAGGCTAGTCTCAAACTCATGGCCTCAAGCAATCCCTCTGCCTCAGCCTCCTAAAGTATTGGGATTATGAGTGTGAGCCACAGCACCAGGCCTGTAATTCTGTTTAAAAAGAAGTAGATTGACTTTTGCAAAAGTTTTATAAATCATAACTGTTCGCATTTGTGTAGTTAGTCAAATGCTTTATATATACTACTTGTTTAATGCTTAAAATAGTCTCATAAAATACAGAGGCCAGGCAATATTACCCCCATTTAATATATGAGGAACTAAGGGTCGGGGAAGCCCATCTTGGGTCACACAAATAATAAATGGTAAAGCAGAAGCAAAAAATCATTCCTTACAAATTATAATTAATTGCCTCTTCCACTACACCACATGACAAAGAATGTGCAAATGGCCTTAGAGAACTCAATTGGCAAGAGATTTGCATATGAAGGATTCATGACACCATTTTCTTCACTTTCAATGAGTAATGATTCTTCAAGATTTCAAAAGAAAGTTCACTTCTTTTCTAAAGAATAGGGCTGACTTTCAAACCAGTTTGAGATTAAAAGGCACTGGAGAAATACAGAACCAGACATCCCATCTTACTCCTCAAAACCTCTGTCCTCTGGTATGTAGAAGGGAAGGAAGAACAAAAGTTCACATTTCAACAGTGTTCTCTGCATCCAAGGCTTCAAAATAAAAGCAATGATTCATTTCATTCATTCACAGTATTTTTGAGTACCTTCTGTGTTCAAGACACTATGCTACGTTCTGGCTAAAAAGTAGTTAATAAAACAAACACATTCTCAGTTCTTGTAAAAAGGCTCATCTGGAAAACATAGCCATTAAGCAACTATGTACATAAATTAACATTGTTACAATGATGATAACTCTCTAGAGGAAAGAACATTGTACTATTAATATAAAAACTGAGAGGAAAGACTCAGTCTAGACCACAGGTGAGTCAATGAAAAGTCCTGAGGAAGTGACATTCGAACTGAGGCACATGGGTGAGCAGGAGTCAGTAAGAAGGCAAAAGTGGACAGTGTGTGCAAAGGCTTTAAGGTAAGAAGAAGGGTTTGTATCTGAGTAACAAAAAACAAGCTGGTTTGACTAGAACATGTTGAGCAGAGGTTAGTTACATTGGATATCGGGAAAGAAAATGGGGACAAGGCCTTGTGGCTACTGAACCGGACAGCCCTTCAAGAGTACCATGTCTGCCTTATGGAGAATGGATAGGAGGAGGAGCATGAGAGGATGTGGGGAAACCGGTCCAAAGGAGAGATCATGGTGATTTGGATGGAGTCGTAGCAATGGAGATAGAGAAAAGAGCATGAATTTGAGATATTCTTAGAATTCAGAATCAATATAAGTTTGGTGAGTGACTAAAAGTTCCAGGTGTTAGGAATTGAGGTATCAAGGATGACTTCTCTGGCCAGGGGCGGTGGCTCACACCTGCAATCCCAGCACTTTGGGAGGCCAAGGCGGGTGGATCACCTGAGTCAGGAGTTCAAGACCAACCTAGCCAACATAGAGAAATTCCGTCTTTACTAAAAATACAAAAAATGAGCCAGGCGTGGTGGCAGGCGCCTGTAATCCAAGCTACTCGGGAGGCTGAGGCAGGAGAATTGCTTGAGCCCAGGAGGCAGAGGTTGCAATGAGCCGAGGTCATGCCATTGCACTCTAGCCTGGGCAACAAGAGCAAAACGCCACCTCAAAAAAAAATAAACAGAAAAGAAATTTTCTCAGTGTTTGGGTGAGGGAGAAAGGACAAGATGGAGGAAGGTGAACAAGAAGGCACAATCCATGTTGCTTCCGGGTTCTTCATCACCAACTATCCCGCGCCTGGGAAGATGCAGATCAACCGAGCATGCGCCACGTGACGTCAATCCTAAGAGATCGAAACTTACCCGGCCACGCCTACGGAGACGCCTCTATCATGCCCTTATCCCGCCCACTGCACTCCTCCCCTTCTAGCTCCCAGGCATAAAAGTCCGCCGCTGGTAAGCGCCGGTGTGACGTCTTCGACCCCCATTTTCGTGGGTTGGAGAACCTCACCCGAGAGCGCCGGCACAACTTCCCTGGCCCCCGACACCTGAGGACCAGAGAACCTCGCCCGAGAGTGTGTGCATATTTGCAATAAAAGACTGCCACTTTCTTATGTACTTTGGCCTCATGTTTAATTACTTAGCTCTCCTAAATTAAATTAAATTAAATTAAATTAAATTAAATTAAAACACTCAGGTTTCCAGCTTAAGTAGCTGATTAGATAAACCTTACATTTGTGGAAAGAGATAGAGAAGCTGAGAGAAAGAGTAGATATAGCTGGAGAGTGGTGAGATATGGAAAAGAAGAGCTCACCCACAGCTATCTTAAATTTGATATACACAGAATACATCCAAGTGGAGACTGTCAAGTAAGTAAACACTGATTCTGGAGGTTATGAGAGATGTTTGATCTGCATAAAAAAAAGTGGAGAGTTATTGACATTTATATAAGGCTTAAGACAATGGAAATGGATGCAAAAGCTTAAAGGGAAGAAGGCCCAAACCTTGCAGGTGACAACATGAAGGCATAGCAAGAACAGATCCAGTAGGTAAATAAAAACAAAAGCCAGACGCAGTGGGTAGAAAAGGGAATGGAGGTGGAATAATAAAGTAAAATGTTTGGAGGATGTTTTGAAAAGGGAGTGATGTTGATGTTCTTGGGAGAAATATTTTACTAGTTATTAAGATGTGGAAGATTTGTCTGACATAGTACTCTTTTTTCCTACGAGTATTGGATTCACCTTAACGCAATGAGGAAGAAAACACACAAGAATAATCACGGGATTCTACTAAGAAACCACCATGCTAGGCAATATCATACCTGATTCCACATCAAGAGAGTATTTATCAATAGCCAAGTTCATGGTATTGTAGGCAGCGGTACAAAAGTCTTCCAGAATCATGTACACCGCATTGTTGACATTAGGAGGGACAGAATTGGCAAACTTCATTCGGCTGTTCACCACAATGCTGCCATTTCTGAAGTTGAGGATTTCTAAGTTCTGGAATCCCGTGAGATTTGACTGGAGATAGGGAACCAGCTACAATACACAAAAAGTGGTAAGTTTATTGACAACGTTTCACATTTTGTTCAATACATACCCAAACAAAACTAAACAAAAACACAGGTAAGACCCTGCCTCACTTTTCCTAATTGTATTTTATCTACATTTAAACTGTTAATTAACAAAAGTACAAATTAGGAATGATTTGACAGTATAAACTAGAAATGCTATGCGATTTTCATAGTGATATTTAGGAATCTCATGGAATTCATACATAGTTTTAGATACTCAGAGAGTTTATTCTCTGTTTCACTGAAGGATCCCAACAGCGAAGGCGATATAGGTACCCACAAAATATTAGCTTCACAATAAAATGTGAAAAGAAATGTCAAACTTATTGTAGTCCCATAATTCATGAAAACAATCTTCCCTGTAAATTATCACATCACTCTCATGCCACTTTTATGTTTTCCATTTCTTATATGTCTTACTGTTTTCTTTCCAACCCTAGGCCATGATACTATCTGTGAATTACAGGAAATGAATGTTCACAGCAGATCACACTTTCCCTGGCTCAGACCTTGTGTGCTAGAGGGGAGGAGGAGTGGGTCATACACGATTATTCACTAGCGCCCATGTTTCACTTTTTGTGCTTACCAATTCTAAGAATCTTTGCTCCAGGGCTTTATACTCCAAAGAGTTCTTATTAAACAGATCTTCTGAAAACATCATGTTAGTCACTCGGAGGCTGAAGAAAACCACCAAAGCTCCTGAAGTCTGGGTATAACTCAAGTCATCTCCTCCTTCTGTGGGCCACGCCACACTAACCATCTCTGTGGAGTGAACACTTGTAGACATTTCCACATAACTACCAACCTTGCCATTTTGCTCTTGGACTAGCTCAGGCTGATAGTAATCTGTGCCTATCCGGTCCAGTTCTAATGAAATATCCTGTACACCCATAATTACTTCATCCTCTAGCAGGGTGGAGATTGTGGTTGGAGGCAATTTGGTAGACTGTGTCACAGAAGCTTTCAACCAGAGTCTGTCAGTACTCTGTGGTGTACTTGCCAATGTGTCTCTGGACAATTTCTCTAGGGAAGAAGTTCTTGTCGAAACTCTCTCTGATTCTGGCAATATAGTCCACAAAGGTTGCGTATCTGGCTTTACCATTGAAACCTCACTGTCAAACCATTCATAGTTGGATGACTCGGTAGTTTGTTCCATATCCTCCCTTAGGATGGCATCTGCCTGATCTGATATTTCAGTAGAGGCAGAGATTGCTACAGATGTCAGTATAAGAGGTGCTTTGGTAACTGAGTAATCATCAACACCAGGTACTTCTGATATGTGCTTGGGGAGGGTTAGAGATGTAGATTCAGTTGCAGTATCTGCGAAGAAGGGCACAGCAGGCCCACTAAGAGGCTCTTCCTCTGGGAAGTGTGTGGATCTATCATCATGTTCATATTTTGAGTGCTTACTAATTTGGTCTGTGGAATCCATTTTGTCAACTAAAACTAGTTTCTTGTCTTCAATCTCAGCTGGCAAAAGTGAATCGTCATCCACAAGCCATGGCTTGGACAGCGGTTCAGTGCTCTTCTCTGATGAAGTCTCACTCCATGGCCAAGTAATCAGATCTACTTTTTGCCCTGATCCTGAACCTAAACCACTGTCAAGTATTAACTCTTTTTCCATGGATGCATCTGGCAGGAAAGGGCTCACTTTTAATTGATCTTTGACTTTGGAGGTCAAGGAGTCCAAGCCAAAAGGTATAGAAGAGGTCAGATATGGTGAAGATGTTAAGGACACATCAGAGTCTTCCATGGATGGTATTGTTTCTTTTGGCACAGGTTGAGTGAATGAACTTGAAGGCAATGAATCAATAGAAAGAAAATCTTCTGACTCTTCAACATTGGCTAATCCTAAAAATAAAGTTTTCCATTAATTAATCTACAGAGTTGCCAAAATATATTCCTAGTTCTTCCAGTTCTTCTAATAAAATTAGTTTCCTAATTTTTCCCTGTGAAGTTAACAGGGGCAATTGTTGACTTTTGTTTTTCTATATCTAGCAAACAAAAGGAAAATCTGATAACATGTTTGTAATATGGGACAGTCACTCATGAATATTATCTCCTTCTCGAGGATGACAAGACCTTGACTATTGAAATAATCTTCAAACACTTGTTTTTTTTTTAATTCCATGAAAATAAAGAACTGCTAGTAGTAATTTTGACAACAAATACTAAATCCAGCAGTCATTTAGGAGGAAAATTCCCTGAACATTGTGTTTCTCTTTGAATTCTCATTTTCCCTGCTATGTTTATTGTCTATCATCCTTCAGATTCACCCAACATTCACAATCCTGAACTCATTATTTATATATTTGCTCATCTTCCTCATTTCACATGTAAACTCCATTTCTAGGTCACATTTATTTTTCCTTTCCTCCACAACATCTAGATCATCTATTTCATTTTCACTTGTTTATCTCTGCTGTGGCTGCCATGATTTAGTTTCTTCCCTTCACAATACTACTACAAGCAAGAATCTTTAGACTTGGCCCCCACAACTAATTGTATTATGACCTAGTTGAATAATCTTCTTTGACACTATTTATTACTCCAATATTTAAGTAAAGTGGTTATTTAATAGTAGTAGCAGTAATTTAACTAAACTATATACCCTTCGATATGACCTTCAAAATATCTGTTAATTGATCCCCACCCCAGCTCCCCAAGTTTACTTCTTATTATTTACCTATTTGGACTCTCCATTCCAACAAATTAAATTTGATTGTTTCCTCTCACAAACAATTTTACCAAGACATTTTACCCCTAATGAATACTACTATGTTTTTTTCATAGCCATAGTCTCTTCCTCTCTCTAAAAACCCTGTCATCAGATACAACAAGAAGTATGAAAAGCGATTAAAGTTTCTCACCATCTTCTACCAAGTGAGATCCAGAAGTCCTTTCCTCAGAAGCCACAGGCAAGCCAGTCTGAAGCACTGCCGGGGTGACAGAATGAAGAGTCAAGCTGCTAACCTCTAAAACCTCTGGGGAAGAACTGAGGCCCATCTTCGAGGGAAAGGCTAATTTGTGTGTAGACACTAAATCACCCAAAGGACTTTCTGACCAGAGTTCCCTGCCAGTGGCTGAGGGAGGACCAGAGCTGAAATCAAGTGGTGGAATACTGCTGGTGGTGGATTCATCTGCTGAGGGCCATGCAGCTTGAAAGGTATTATCCTGGGGGGAAAAAAAGGCTAAATCATATCATAGATAAAAGAAACATATAAAAAGTGATTTTAAATACCACCTATCTGTCTATATTCCCAGATTTTCTAGGGACAAGGAGGCAGTGTATTAATAGTATTGGGAGTAGGGGGAGACATGGGCTCCAGAATCAAACAGATTTATAGTCAAATTCCAATTTCTAGAGAAAAACTATATCACCTCTCACCTGAAAAGCAAGGACAGATGAGGTAACATATTTTAAAGCCCTCAAACAAAGTGAATTTGTGAGAGAAAATGTTTTTTTTCTTTAGATGGTTCATTTTCCTCTGTGTTTTTAGCTTAAATGACTTTAAATACATAGAAGTTACTGTTATCTGTAACTTGTTGGCAAAGATCTAAGTCCATTGCCCACAGCAGGAAAGAACAACTGACAATTTTATTCATCGTTCTGAAAAGATAATTAGTTAATGAAGGCCCTCTAGTTTGGTCAGAAATGTCACCACAACAAAATGTAGTCTGGTTACCTCAAATGAATAGCCACTCCTGTAAAATGGTATCACACTTATGAAACATAAACAATTTCCTCTTTCTAGTGATGTTTTACTAATGTACTACTAATCTTATCTTAAAATGTAGTTCAGAAATGGAGAAGTATACAGAAACACAAACCTTGAACATGTTAATTATTTAATTTTATGAAGAACTGTCTATGTAAATGTACAATAATCAGCCAGCCACAGTGGCTCACGTCTATAATCCCAGCACTTTGGGATGCTGAACCAGGAGGATCGCTTGAGGCTAGAAGTCCAGTCCGGGTAATATAACAAGACCCCATCTCAACAACAACAAAAAATTAGCTTAGCCAGGCATGGTGGCACACACCTGGAGTTCTAGCTACTTGGGAGGCTGAGGGAGGAGGATCACTTGATGCTGGGAATTCAAGACTACCGTGAGCTATGATCAACCCACTGCACTACAGCCTGGGCTATAGAGCAAGACATTGTCTCAAAAAAAAAAAAAAAAAAAAAAGTTTAACAATACTGCTAAGAGGTAAAATGGCCATGGTATTTGGCAGGAGTTTATATAATTTATTCCGGATTCTGAATAACAAAGATAGAGAAGTACAATCCACATGGAAAAAACTCATAAAATATATCCTGGATATATGAAAACTGAAAAAGGAAAAGAGAAAAGAACAATTCTTTTCAGTCCTAAGAAGGTATTTGAGGTCGGGTGTGGTGGCTCACACCTTTAATCCCAGCACTTTAGGAGGCCAAGGCAGGTGGATCGCCTGAGGTTAGGAGTTCGAGGCCAGCCATGACCAACATGGAGAAACCCCATCTCTGCTAAAAATTCAAAATTAGCTGGGTGTGGTGGCACATGCCTGTAATCCCAGCTACTCGTGAGGCTGAGGCAGGAGAATCACTTGAACCTGGGAGGCAGAGGTTGCGGTGAGCTAAGATCGCACCATTGCACTCCAGCCTAGCAAAACACCATCTCAAAAAAAAAAAAAAAGGTATTTGAATCACATGGAAGCTTTTGAAAAACACCAATTCCCAGGGCTGACACTCAGAAATGTTAACTTAATTGGTCTGGTAGGAGAACCGAGACATGGGTACTTGTAAAAGTTCTCTAGTAGAGGAAATGGCTGGATCATGTTCTGGGCATAATATTCCAGCCTGTGTTTCTAATATACTTCTTCAGTTGCTAAATGATTTTATTTCTTATCAACTGGAACCTTTAAGAAATTTCCCATATTTATAAGTCTATCAAAAGACTAAAATTCATGTTATACCTATGAACAAAATGAAAACTAGGAATAAGAAATGCTGAATCTAACCTCCTCCCCGCAACTCCAGGAGACTCCTATCAGCAATAGTAAATTTGCACTGACAGTCTCAACCCTAATATGCTTTTTGAACAAAGCACACAATTTTAGGGTGGCTAACTAGAGTTCAGTCTATGGCCATGAAATAAAACAGAACATACTGGCCTATGAAGACAGCTGACCCAAAACAAGGTGATATGGTTTGACTGTGTCCCCACCCAAATCTCATCTTGAATTTCCACATGTTGTGGGAGGGACCTGGTGGGAGGTGATTGAATCATGGGGGCAGGTCTTTCCCATGCTGTTCTCGTGATAGTGAATAAGTCTCATGAGATATGATGGTTTTATAAAGGGGATTTTCCCTGCACAAGCTCTCGGCTCTTGTCTACTACCATGTGACATGTGCCTTTCACCTTCTGCCATAATTGTGAGGCCTCCCGAGCCACGTGGAGCTGTAAGTCCATTAAACCTCTTTCTTTTGTAAATTGCCCAGTCTCAGGTATGTCTTTATCAGCAGTGTGAAAACAGACTATTACACAAGGCCTAATTAGTCTTTTATGCTTTGTCTTCACAGTGCCCCTTGTCTCTCTGTCAAAGAGCTGTGTAAGAAGGCTTTGAACTATACACTCTCCCAGTCACAGATGGGGGACCATGAGGCAAGAAACCACCAGGCATGTCCTACTTTGTCCCTTCCCCTAGTGACAAATGCACAGGAAAGATGGTAATAACAGAAGGTCATTGGTTCTATAGAGGGTTACCCACAGTTTCATCTACCATCTTTAAACTAAAAGCACTTTAGTTTAAAAAGAAAATCTTATTTTCTTTTGTGGAACTCAGTTACAACATCACTTCCTGCCTTGTCCATGTTGTTTTCATTGGTTCCTATTTTAAGTGGGTCACCATGGTGATTCTTCTGTATTTGTCACCACCACTTCAGATCCTTCTCTTCCTGCCCTCTGCCCTAGAAGGCTGACCCTGTGATCTGTACCAGTCTTGCAAATGCTGCCTTGCATTTGTTTTCTGTTTGAGTTTGGCCAATGGGAAGCATAAGCAGATCAAAGGACAGGGGGAAGAGAGGTCAAGGTATGTCTTCCCTGCTTCCTCCAAGCCTCAATACTATGTGTCTAGCATAGCTGTGCTTCTCCCTCCACAATTACAGCTCCAGCTGTCCATGGGCTCTGGTAACAGCATTTCCTCCCCTTCCTCTGTACTCCAATGGATGGTAGTGGTAATTGCTTCCCACTGTTGTTAGTCTCTGCATACCTCAACATTCTTTTTATGCTCCCTCAACCCTATCCACATCTCCATTAGTAGATTCTTCTAGATGATTCTGTTACTGCTGAGACCCTGGATGAGTGATATTATGCAAAGGTGCCATCGTTTTATAATATACTTCATTTAAAAATCCATTAAAGTTTAAGTCATTTCTGTCAAAAAGTGATTAGACAATCCAAAATGAAATATAAATGCCCAGCAAATAAGGAATGAGAATCACTTAAAACAACAACATGAACCAAAAGTGATATCATTCTGGCTAAATGTAAATTTAGCCAGAAAATAAAAATCTGGAAAGGAAAAAGGAGAGTGATAAAAAGTATATGATGCAATGTTAGCCAACATTTTTGGCAATGTAGCTTTGGCTAAAAAAAAAAAAAGAAAAGAAATAGAAGCAAGATTTATCTAGGAATTAGACTGGAGTCTAATAACCAAATCTCCTGAATCTGTTGAAGTGAAATGTATGAGAGAAAAAGCAAAACATCTGTAAAGAAAGAGGAAGCCAGAGGCCATCATTAAATGACTAGGTACAATTGCAAAACAACCTATAGAGAAAGAGAAAGATCACAAAATTCCCTCTTGGGGAATCTCCTAACAGAAGTGCACCTGAGGATAAGAAGACATGTTTCATGATTCAGGACAAAAAAAGAAAAAGAAGATCTAATTGGAGAGATGACTTCTGGCATTTTTCTAGTAAACTTTAAGAGCATGCAAGTCTGGGCAACAGAGTAAGACCCTGTCTCCACAAAAATCATAAAATAAAAAAATAACTGGGTGCCTTGGTGCACTCCTATATTACATTCCTATAGTACTCTGGAGGCTGAAGCAGGAGGATCACTTGAACCCAAGTAGTTTGAGGCTTCAGTGAGCTATGATCACACCACTGCACTCCAGCCCGGGTGACAGAGCAATACACTGTCTCAGAAAACAGCATGCAATTACCAGGAGTAGAGTTAACCTTACATAACTCTATTCAGTAGAGGTGGCTTACAATTGCTGACCTGTGTGCAGAGTGCTCCTACATAACTTACCACCAAGTAGAATAAAGCTGGTTCATATTTCTGCCTAGAGGGTCTAAGTTATTCTGAGTCCTCACGAACAGAGATAGAGCAAAAGTTTATTTCCAGAGAAATGGAAGACAACAAATTAAAGTCCAGAAAGTGAAAGGCAAAAAAGTTAAGTAAAAACACCAGCTCTTGTCTTGCCAAAGGCTCATGTGCTTTATGAGGCCACCCTTTGGCTTGTAAAAATCTTATATTGGTAAGAGGGGCTGAGCATGCACATGTATGTGAACATAACAAAATTACCACATTTTACACTTAGAAGGACTCAAGAACACATGTAGTATAACCATGCCTATTAAAGAGAGGGAACTGAGGATCATAGAAGTGAAATGCTCAAGGACACACAAAAAAAGAGAAAAAAAAAAAACAGACTGGAAGCAGCCAAGTCTCTAGATTTCTCAGTGCCAGTGCTTTTCCCACTAACAGCTATTCATCCAGAGGTCTCTACAAGTGTATATTCCCAAGTGGTAAAAGGATTCTCAGAGGAGAAACTAGAGCAAACAGACTTGGCAGTCCATGCGCTCATTTGGGTTAACATATTCCACAGGTTTATACAACCCAGGTCAACACAGATGGAGGGAGTGTGGGCAGCCATCTCCTAATATTCAGATATCTGCTCTATGGGATATGGAGGCTGTTTACATAGAAAAAAAGTTTGTAGCCTTCCCCTTCATTTTTCTAGGACTGAAAATTACATTTGTAGTCAGGGAAAAGAAGGCCATTTGCTCAATACCAAGTTCTGTTCTTCAATAAAGTAGTTACAATGATGATGATCATTCCATAAGAGGGAATTAACTTTATTCCTTTTAATTATATAAAACTACTTCCAGAGATGTGTTAAAGTTACTCATATATTCTTGCAAATTCCAAATGTACTTTACAAGAAAACTCAAGTGAGATAACTTAAGCCCTTCAAGCCATGCTTAAGAAATTGAGTTTTATCAGATGGAGTGCATAACCTGACACACATTAGGAAAGCAGCTGAATCCTCAACGAAAAAGAAATCCTCAAGCAGTAATATACCATTTCAGTGTATCTGTAAACAAAATGCCTTTTCACTACATAAAAAATTAAAAGTGAAACAATATATAAAATCTTTTCAAAAGTCAAGTCACAGACAATATAAAATGTGAAAGTAAACAACTTGACTTTTCAAATAAAGAAGAAAGACCATCCCTTCCAAATACGTATTCCCTAAAAACTGGCATGGCAATGAAGCTTTATTATACATTTTGAAAGGTTAACATATACATGCCAGGAATAGCCCTTCATTAATTTTTCTATCCATAGATGTTCCCATAGTAACAAATTTAACTTATGCTTTCTTTTAGTTCAATGTAGTATATTGACAACTGTATTATATTGGCCAATTTCATTTCTGCTACTGCCAATTGAAAAGCTTGTTAGTCCTAAAGAAAGCACACTGTAAAAGTGATTTTCCAAGTCAGGGTGCCAGAAAGGTGTCAAATTCCCTTTCCCAACATTCCTAGCTCTAAAATAACATTTTTTTACTCTTTGAATAAAGCCTTTATTACTAATAATAAAAACAATAAAATGATTAGTAATATAATTATTGCAGCTCTGTATATATAAAATAATTTTTTAAAATAAAATCTAGGGGGGGAACCTACCTCACTTCTATGGTAGAGTAAAATCTTGCTAACAGTTAGCAAGGGCGTGAAGAAAGGGAGGGAAGGAATAAATTAAAAAGAAAGTAATAACTAGACATTTCTAATCAATCATTCCTTGTTTTCATGTCTTATCATCTCCCATTAACATTCTAATGTTTCCTTAAATTGTTAATGAATGCCCTACAGTAATCACTATTCAAAAAAGTAATGAGTTGGCATAAATGCAAATGAAAGCACTGCAACATAAATGAACAAGTGAGCCTACTGGTGCTTGCTATCATTAAGGGGCAGCCACAGCCAAGTTCCAGCCACTTTCTGCCACAAGGGAGTATGAACTTAACAGTAGCAGATCTTCCTGGTGTTCAAAAGAAGCCAGAAATCTGCATTTTTATGTAAAAATCTCCTAGTTTTAAAATATTGACTTATTTTTTTTTAATTTGGTCCCAAGCTGCATGTCTATAGTTGGATCCAGCTAGTCTCCAGTTTACACACTCTGGCTTATATAGAAATTCTCATCTTAACAATATGATTCTAAAATATCATCATGAAGCTCCTCCTGTGGTTAGAGAATGTGATTAAAAGCGGGAGAGTCGTGGTGCTGTCATTGCTCCCTGTACCCTGGATCGACCTCTAGGACAATGTCTGCATTACCTTGTTTAGAAATCTGTCTACTACCACCAGACTAGAAATTTTTGTAGGCAGAGCCACACCTTATTTGTCTTAGTTTCACAAGCTCTTGGCACATAGAAAGCACAAAACAAACATATTTGAATGAATGAATAAGTGAAGAAATAAATACACACCAAATGAATGTACTCTCTGTAAATCTCTTCTAATCTATTTTGTCCAATATGTAACTCAGTGAAAAGATTGTTTTTAGTAATTCTACATTGTAATAATGAGTTACTCTGTAACCTAGTAGAAGAAATGGCTGCAGAGATTAATGGTTACATGAATTAAGGGCAGGCTTTCTGAATTTCCATCGCTCCATTAAAGTCGAGAAACAAGTAATTCAAATAGCTGATATGAGACAGAAAATAAATTTTCAGAGGGAAGAAAAGCAAGGAATGTCGAAGAGAAGGGAGTCCCCTTACTGTTTCTATGTGATAACAAAAGATTCCTGTATTCGTTGTAGACAGGTAATTCTGTAGTGGTTTGTGGTTGTAGATGTTATCATTGTTGTTTAAACTATGCTGTTTCTTTCCTACTGTATAACTCCCTACAAGTGAAGTGGCAAGTGGAGGTTTAAGGGGAAGAGGAATTCCTAATGCAGCTGGGTGGTAAGAACAAAAAGGAAAGTTCGTCCCATGCTGTTTCTATGCAAGCGGGAGTTTTCAGTCCAGGTTACAAGGAGGCCTGATTTAGAGTCCCTGTCATCCGTCAGCTAGCAGATATGCTTCTTTCTCTCCCTTCCGTACACACACTGTTCTATGTGCTTCGCAGTGTAACCTTTTTTTCACTATAATCATTGAAACAAAAAATCTACGCTCTATACCTAGTACATCAATATATCATCTTGGCTATAAAATCTATTTCTGGGTAACTCTCAGAGAACAACTCAGCGGGCACTTAATAGCTTAATTATCACCGAACAAGTAGGAACCATAAATAAGTTTTCTACCCTGTGTGGAGTTTGGCAATGCAGACTTTATTTCACCACTGCAGAAGGCTTAAATTTTCTGAACCAACACTTGGTACCTATGAGCTGACACCTATGAGTAATGGTCTAGGGATGATGCAAGAGAATAATTGAAATGAGAACAGCTTGGGAAATGTATAATGCCAAAGTAAGCAGGTGAGGGAAGAAAGAAGAGAAGCTTGAGGGCCTAGTTCTAGCATAAAATATAAAAACATACCAGAATAGATGATGGCGTTGCCTGAAGACTTGAACTTTGGGTGTTCCAAACTAGATCTTCAGTTTGGTGACGCAAAACTCCTCTCACTGAGGAAAGAACAACATTAGAGAACATTTTTAGTTGAGGCCGTACTGTATTTGAGGTGCAGGGACAACTGAAAACCAAGTTCTTCCTCTTCATAGTTTAGATTCTAGCAGAACATACGGGACACACTTACTTAGAAAATATTTATTACTTTATTCAGATATTTTATTTATATTAGCACAATCTGCCTGAATTATAAGAATCTAACATAAAATAAAGATTCTTCCCATTATTACATTTAGGACATCCTCTATTACTTCCTTTCCTTTCTCAAGTCAGTTTTTATTCTGTTCAAGATTCCTATGAAGCGCTTATTTTTAAATTAATCTTTAAGTAAAAAAGTTGTACTAAAATTTCAATTCATTTGGTTTATGCTAAGAATGGTAGAAAAGTATGCAAACATAATTGCCTTTTGGGAAGAAAGTACCTTTGAAAACTGAGCTAGGACACCAAAAATCTTTATCACTGTAATGATATTAAAGAGCAACATACAGAGTCGATTATATAATTTAATTCAACAAAAATTTAATGAATCCTTGCTAGTTACCACAGACTTTACCAAAGTTGAGGCTATAAACATTAATAAAGCCAAGTTTCTCTTCTGGAAGTATTGCATATATCAGGGAAATAAACACAAATTCTAAAACAATGTAAGGGGCATATATACAATATATGGTGACACAGACAAAGAAGCAGCTGATTTTGCCTACAAGGGAGAGAAAATCAATAAAAGCTAAAAAGAAGGGATTGCCAGGAGAGTGATCTGGTGTATGCAACCAAAAATAGAAGTAGAGTCTCTTTATCTACCTGTTCCCACTGGCCTGACATAACAGGAATCAAGCAAAGGTCAAAAACCCTATTTGGCTTACGTATTTTCCAAAACTTTTAAAAACTGTGTATACAATTATCTTGTCTTCTATGAAAAATAAGCTCCACAAGATCAAGAAGTGATATGGTTTGTCTCTATGATGTCCCCACCCAAATCTCATGTTGAGTTGCGATCCCAAGTGCTGGAAGTGGGGCCTGGTGGAAGGTGATTGGATCAGGGGGGCAGATTTCCTCTTTGCTGTTCTCGTGACAGTGAGTGAGTCCTGATGAGATCTAGTTGGTTAAAAGTGTGTGGCACTTCTCTCTCTCCCTCTCTCTCTCTGTCTCTTCCCCTGCCTCCCTTCTGCTCCACCATGGCAAGACGTGCTTGCTTGCCCTTCACCTCTTCACCTTCTGCCATGATTGTAAGTTTCCTGAGGCCTTCCAGCCATGCTTCCTGTACAGCCTGTGGAACCGTAAGTCAATTAAACGTCTTTTCTTCATAAATTACCCAGCCTCAGGTTCTTTAGAGCAGTGTGAGAATGGACTAATACAAGGAGGATCATGTCTTTTGAGATAATGATCAAGTTACATAGAAAGCTGCCACCATTCAGAACTCTGAAGTTGGCCTGACAATAGAAATAAACTTTAGAGACAAACTTCTGACTAATTGAAATATACATCTAAGGAAAGCCTAAGGCACTTGAATTAGTTGGTATTAGATATTGTAAAGCTTTTGTTGAACTTGCTTACAAATTCTAAGAAAGTCGTTTACCTCTTTTCAGGACACCTTTATGAAAGTGGCTCCACCCACAGGCTCCACACAAAAGGAAGATCTTGCAATACTGTTTGTGGATGTCGTTTCCTAAGCAACCTCTGTTTATTGTAGACCTTAATCTTCATGCCATTCTCCTACCACTCCAGCTACTGACCTTGGTGTTTGCACCTTCTGCTCAATGTCGGTTCTTAACCTACTTAGGTCATGATCTCCTAACTATATCTTTTCTCTGTCTGATCTCAATATCCTGATGCCTAGAATCTTCTGCCCATATGCCGTCCCTATGGTTAGCCCCGGCTAATCTCTATTAGCATTGCCAGAGCGACTTCAGCAGTTTCAGATTATAACAAGCTTCTTATCTGTTCACTGTTTTATCTAGCCCTAGTATTCACAATGACAAAGGAGTATGCAAAGAAGTGAGCGTAGGATACCTACTCCAAAATATAAAGGCTCCCTAATGTTTCAGAATGAATGGTCCTATACCACTCTCCTCCACTGAAGAGAGTGCTTCTCCATCTTAAAGTCCTATGTAATTCATATAAAGCCCAGACCACTTTGTGACCCTGTCCCAGCAGAGTGTCACATTAAAAAAAAAGGTTAGTCCAGCAGCCAAAATAAGTTGAAAGTAATGTAAAGTTTTGGTCTGGAAAAAAGAAAGAAAGAAAAGAGAAGAAAAGAAAAGAAAAGAAAAAAGAAAAGAAAAGAAAGAAAGAGAGAGAGAAAGAAAGAGAGAGAGAGAGAAAGACAGAGGCAGAGACAAAATCTTATTTGGGGAAAAAAGAGATTAAATCACATACAGTAAAATCTTATTAAAAATTTTTCTCTCCCTTTCCCTTTCTCACTTTCTCTGTCTCTTTCACATACACATATATACACAAATACACACACACACACACACACACACACACACACATAACTGCCTGGAAAGACAAGACTCTTCTTTGTCTCTCTAAAAATTCTCCTTCCCTACCTTACCTTTTAAATCTACTATTTTCTTTGATTATTAATTTTCTGATCTTCCTGTGTAAATCCAACAAGCCTCTCTGGCTTCTCTAGTGTCTATTTTTGTTCATTTGTTACACACACACACACACACACACACGCACACACACACACACATGCACACGGCTAGGTAGTAGCTGCCTGAAAGGACAGGACAGAGGCTCTTTTCTCTTTAAAATGTGTGGCAGCTACAGAGGCTGTAAAAATGCATCATTAGTATTGCCTCACTTGTAGATTTTCCTCCTCGGCAGCTGGTACTTCTCCCCTGCTGTCACTTCAGTAATGCATATTCCACTGAACATTTTAAAAGCTAAACTACCAATGAGTAAAGAAATCATGGAGAATAGAAGCAAATGCAAAGTAGCAAGTGAGTTAGCAGGATACCGTGGCCCTGATGAGTTAAGATGCTGCATACTAGTAGCCAGAATCTTAGCAAGTTTTAAGTCCAAGGTTGACTGGGCACCCTGTAGCCTCCAAATCCAGGTTAAACACCCTCTTCTTCATGATCTGTCATATCCACCTGTTCATTATGGATCATAACAGGATCTCCACAGCGATCTGAATTTAAAGTCAGTATTGGGTTATCCGGGATTCCGCACGGCACCCATTATCACTTCTTCTTTGACCTAGATCTCCCATTGCCTTTCTTGAGCTCTTCCTTTTTTTCTACACTCTGATTTTTAAGCCTTTACTAGCTGACTTACCTCAGAGAGTTCATGTCTCAGTTGTCAGGGAAGCATTATAGCCTGTTTCAGTACATACTTCCAAGTACTACTTTCCTTTTTCTTATACTTTGCTCCTATTTCTCTAAACTATTTCTAACTGCCACTTTCCACACTCTGTGGCCTTTTGTCTAAAAATATTCCAGAAAGCCCCTGATTAGTCTATCCAAAAGAGCTGCACGGCTAAAGCTCCATTCATATCAGGTTGACTCCTGTCTCATAAAGTCTAGAGAATGGTCAGAACCTTATATATTTTGGGAAATTAGTTTACACCAGAGCATACCGGAAAAGAAACTAGACAAGGACTTCATGATGGATATGAAACTCACCATTGATAAGCTGCAGGGAATCAGGATCTGGATTCAAGGAAGAGTTCCCCAGCAAAAAATTCTGCTGCAATGTCTCAGCAATATAATCTCTGAAGTTACTGATTGTATAAACAACAGTGGGTTTATCGTCCAGTTCCACAAGGCCATGGTTTTCCACCTTGTTGGAGTGAAGGCTGATGAGGTCCCAGGTGGTATTGCTAATGGCCTCACCGTTGAAGGTAACTGCATAGTAAACATCTACGCCACTATGGATGGGAAGAGAGAACAGATTAGGTTCAGCTAAGGAAGCACAAAGAAAGGAGCATTGAACCCATGAAGAAACAAATATTGGACCCAGAGGGGGAGTCTCAAAGAGCATGGATTCCATCACTTTTCTCTGAAAACCCTGGACAACCTTTTGCCATCCTCTCCTCCTTCCCAGAGAATGAGGGGTCATAGCTCTAAGAATAGGGAAAAGAATTGTAAGGAGGCCACAGAGGCAACCCTGCAGAATGATCTGAGCATCTTCTTCCCCTACGTTCTCACTTCTTTCCTCTTTCAAAGGCAAGTCCTCCGTCTTCACTGTCAACCTACTTCTTCTTTTCCTATTAGCATGTCCCCCCCTGCCTTTTTAAAAACAGTCTTTCTAATTCCTCTTGACAGTGCAAAATCCTCTCACATCACTTCATTGTTGTTGTTAGATGAATTATGTACTGAAACATAGTTATCTATTGTGGTAGGAAAATTATGAAAAACTTGGTACTAAAGCAAATTGATGATTATTTTCCTTTAAAATGTTGTGCTGGAGTATTTTCTAATATGACAGTTCTTTCAGAAGACATACTTTGGTTTGATAACCCAGACAATTTACAGTTCTATAAAGTTTAAGACTAAATTGTAAAAAACTATTATGAAGTAATTTTTTTCTTGGCCTAGTAGGAAAAAAATCTCTAAAGTTATATTTTACTACCCTCCAGGGCATTAACCAATTTTGTATGCAACTTAGTAATCTGTTCCAAATTGACTATATGAATTTCTCTTTTTCAGATACTCTAGAAACAAGCTCTCTCTGTCTCTCTCTCTTTTTAAAGCTAACTCCCTTATTAGTGAATTATGTAAAACCTCAACAAGTACTAACAAACAGCACTTGTCTGGGAATTAGGCTTTTTCACCATCAACCTTTCCACAAGCAAACAAAGAGGAGACTTCTTGGAACACAGGACAGAAAGACAGAAAATAAATAAGTATGAGTTGATGTGTTGACATTTTCTTAACTAGTCTTTTGGAGAAATAACATCAGAATATAAAACTTTAAACCAAATAAAAATACTCCTCTAGACTCCAACTCAGATTTCTCTAACTAAAAGCTAACAGTTTGTAAGTGCTGATAATGTGACAGGTATTTTACATGCTTTATCTCATTTAATTTTCATAATAACCTGATGAAAGATATTTTAGCTTCAGAATATTGTTGAGGAAACAAGCCCTTAGAGCAGTTAAAAGACTTCCTTTAGATTTCATAACATGTAATATGTGGCAGAGTCATAATTTCAACACAGATCTGTCCAACTCCAGCCCCTACATTCTGAACTACTATGCTACCCTCTCAGTAGCTTTAATTAAACTATTACCCAAAAAAGTAATTATGAGGACAGCTCAATACCAGTCATCACTGTGGCTTCCAGCCAGTCTCTGCAGCACATCCATCATAGGCAGTAAGTACCCAGCAAGCCACAACGAGATCCCTCCAGAGGAAACGACAACACTACCTTCCAAGAGACAAACCACTCAAGGCAGACATGCAGTAAAAGCAATTCGCCACTTTCAGACATTCCACAGCAGCAAACTAGTCTCAAAACAAAGCATAAAAATAAAAAATGAAAAATTGAATAAAATTTAAACTAACGTGCTTCTTCCTCTGAACTTATATATCCTCACGTATTTCTTTATTTTAGCCTTCATTGCTTTGTGCAAAGATTTTGTTCACAGTGACGGTGTCTCAGTCTCTCCTTGAGTTTCTATCCCCAGTGCTCAGTTTGGTGCCTAGCACAGAGAGGTACCCAGTGCCTACTAGATGAACAGAAATATATACTTGCCTGAATGTAAAAAGAAACCTGCAGCATAATCAAGGTATTTATAGATCTAAAGGAAAGTACCAACATAGTAAGGATGACATCATAGAGTATAGGAAAAAAGAAATTAGTCAGCTCGTTGATGTTACTAGTTAGTGGAAAGCTTCTGACCAGTTTGTTGGGAGTTCCTTGGGAAATAGATCCCTAGGTTGGAAATGGCTACAATAAGCTACCATGGCTAGATGATACTGGCTGCTGAGATCATCCAACTTTCTCTTTTTGATTTCAAGCTTGTAAAAGAAACTTTTGATTATAACTCCCTACAAATTTTCCTGTGAGGAAAGAATGCATGAGCCAGTCAATGCTATAATAATTGATTGGTCTGTTGGCACATATATTTCTCATTTTTAAATAGATCAATAGGCATCCTAGAGACTTCATTGTCTTTTATGGTTTGGTAAGCATGACTGGCCTCAAGAGACTTCTCCTTCCTGGGAGCACTGGTCTGGACCTGGCCTGGCCTACGCGGCACAGATCACACACCCTGGACTGCAGGGAAAGCCATAAAGGTGACACTCCCACCTGCCATACAAGCAAGCAGCCGGGCCTCTTTGATGTTCCTGTCTTACTCTGAGTGGCGTCAATACTGTTTTCTTCCCAGATATGATAGGATACCTCTTCTAATGCAGTGGTTCAGGGCTCTTAAAAGTAATAACTGAGCACTTTGACACCCTGATGCTCTAAGTAGTAAAAACATCTGCTTGTCTCTAGAACTTCCCTCAATCCTCTAAGCAATGAAAGTATTTCAATTTTGCACATCTGAGAATGTTGATTCATAGGTAATTCCCAATATTATTTATAAAGAAATCAACTCAGTAAAATATGCTAAAATATCAAATGATGGTTACAAGATAGAATCAAACAATAAGAGGGTCACCTACTGATCAGAACTCATCACACCATATTCCCCCTTGCTCTTGATAAGCCTTCAGTCATTCTGATAGACTCGCAGACCATAGGCACCTGCTCTGTTTCTGGATCTTTTCCTTCTCTCTGCAATGCCTCTTATTACCTCCCAGCCCTTATATCTTCCACATACACATGTACACACACATATAGATACCTTCTTCACCTGGCTATTTCTTTTTTACTTCAGCTTAGCTGTCATCTCCCAGGGAAACTTCTTTTTAACATGAAGACGTGATTGGTGCTCATGTTCTATCTCCCCACCAACTTTAGAAGCACAATTATTTTTTGGCTCTATGTCCCCACCATCTAGCACAATGCCTGGCTCATAGTAGTTCAATATAGGCTTGTGAAAATAATGAAGAAACAAATGGTCAATTTTGTTCCCTAACGTAGGCAGATAAGACAATTGAATGTATGCCACTTAAACAATGGTACATGATACGCCTGACTTAATCTGAAGCATTTTCAGACTCTAAATATAACAGAGCAATTTTTAACCCTAAAGAACATTCATATTAGCTTCATATATTTGTATCTTCTGGTTAATAATTTTAGAGACATTGTTTCCTGGCCACAGCCCAGCTCTGTAAGGATGTGCATGCTCTTCCAAGTCTTAGAGTGATGGACCATATCGACCTCTCCAGAAAGGTGGGTTTCTTTTTGGGATTTTTGCACAACCTATTAAACTTACTTCTAGCGTAAATATGACTCTAAGATGAAAAAAATATATATATAAGAAAAAAAGAAAAAGAGGGTGGAAGAAAGGTTATGTCAGTTAGCACTTCAGTTGGTTCTTAGGTTATGCAGAAAATCAGACAAGGAGAGTTAAGCATTTACTGGGAACCTACCCATGTGCCTTGCATGACTTTTCAAATGATAGGGAAAAGATCAAGAGAAATGTTCCTGGATCAAGAAATCTATGCAAATCAGGCAGCCTGGAATAGATTACTGGTGTTACTCTTTATTGGCAAAATATTATTTGCCTCCCAATGTTTCCATTGGACATCTAAATATAATACGTCTATTATAATCTACCTTGTCTAGTACAGATAAGTTCATTAAAGAAGATAAAATGCCTCAGAGAGATGTTATAATTTGTTACCATGTTTTTGTCCTGGAAAGAGAACTCAAATAAGTGCTTGAGATACCAGAAAACCATCTATTTTGAGGGCCAAGAACATCACTGTGACCCAGAACAGACTGAGTTCTGGCATGGTAATGGACTACAAAGATATCTCAGGATGACGGACAGAATAAAAGAAAACCGAGAGGCCAAGGAAATTCATGAGAAGCAGAATACAGACTGGCAGATAAAATAGTATCTGATTGAAGAAAGCTGTGCTGGCTCTCCATACTTAGCAACTCCAAGTTAACTAACCACCACTGGATCATCATCTTTCATCTTTTGAACTGGACTCAGGCAGCTGCTATACAGAGGAGAGTTTCTGTGTCTGACAGCTATTTCCAAAGACATCAATCATGTGGAGGTGAAATTTACCCTTTCTTATTCTCTCCCCTCAGATGCCCTGATTGGCTGTTTGATGCATATATATCTTAAAATTTAAAATAGTGCTATCACATTTCATCAAGATCAACCAAAATAAGCATATTTTGGAGAAACTCAGACATCTCTTCTTTAATAACTTCTTCTAGGAAGAAGATACATATTGAAAAGACCTGAAGCTAAATACATAAATTGGGTGTACCAGATAGATATATTGTTGATTCACTTCAAATACATACTACTAAATTAACTAATGAGGACATATTTCCAAAGACATCAATCATGTGGAGGTGAAGTTTACCCTTTCTTATTCTCTCCCCTCAGATGCCCTGATTGGCTGTTTGATGCATATATATTTTAAAAATTAAAAATAGTGCTATCATATTTCATCAAGTTCAACCAAAATAAGGATATTTTGGAGAAACTTAGACATCTCTTCTTTTGTAGCTTCTTCTAGGAAACAGATACATATTGAAAAAGCCTGAAGCTAAATATATAAATTGGGTATACCAGATGGATATGTTGTTGATTCACTTCAAATGCATACTACTAAATTAACATAATGAGTACATTTTAAAAGAGGTGCACAGCAAATAAAAAACTTCATGTGCATATAAATGCTTATGAAGAGAGAGAGGGAAACGGCATATTATATATCCTATAGACTATCTCAGTGCTATACATTCATTTATACACAGCTCAGAATATAAATACATCCAAA